TCATGGATCCTGCAGAGGCTGATGGCTGCGAGGTCATGGATCCTGCATTTGCCGCTGGGTCTTCACGAATTGCAAGTACCACCTGTGGCGGCTCCCAACCCAAAGGAATCACCCGTGGCACTTGGGGAGGAGGTAGCGAGGGCGGAGGAAGCAAGAAGAACTCATCCAGGCACCCCATCAGCAGCATTGAACGATGCTGCTCGCGGAAGACCTTGGGCTGAGCTTCAAGCCTTCAAACCTATAGCCTATACTGTAAAATTATGTGACCAGAAAATTGATGAACAACTTACACAAAACAGGCTAGGCTGCAATGTGCGGGGCATAGGACAAGTCCAAAGTCCACACCAACCGCGGCAGCAAGTTTGCACCAAAGCAGCAGGCCCAATTGAGGAACTCGAAGCTGTTTCCATCATCTGCCATGCGCCACTTGCCAACTGACCCAATCGCTGGTTTCTGGCTCTTCGTCAGCCTTCTAAAGGTGATTGGCCCTCCAGCGGCCGTGAAGATAGCCCCCATAGGGGAGGCCCTCTGCCCAGAAGTCATTTCCTGCCGGTCAGACCCTTTCCGCTCACGCACATAGCACCATTCGTGCCACCGATTTGCACGGTGGTCTTTGAACTTAAAGATCCATGTCTTCTCGCCACTCTGGTGCACCTCCCTGTGAAGCTGTGGGTCAAGGTACATGTCCATGGCTCACGAAGTTCGAAGAATTGTCAGGTCAAAATGAAAAGGATTGAACATGACATGCAGACATGTTGCATAGTTGGAAGGTCTAGCTACTATGCGTGTCTTTCTGATAGAAAGTTTGTCAGAACGTGGAGTGTAGGTCGACCTGGGTGTCGGGGAATAATGCGTCCAACTCCGAATTAGGCAATGTGATGAGTTAATGTGACGAGTGGTGAACAAACTTGACCTGAGGGCAAAATGCCTTCGGTGTGAAAACTTGTCGCTCATGCCCGCTCCCTCACCTCAACTTGTCCCTTCTTCCCTCATCGTGTCTCCCGCTCCCTGGCTTCCTCCACTTTCAAAGTCACCAATCCACCGGCATGATCTGCCTGGTGATAGGTGAGGGGTTGGTTGATCATCGACAATCCTAACTAAACTCATGAGGATCATCCAAACTCATCCAAATCCAATTTCATTAAATTCAATGAAGTCTTCAACTTCACAATGCTCAAGCCCCAACCTCCAATCCCCGCCTCCAGGTGGTAGTCACATGCAACGGGGCTTTTGAACAAAAGTCGGACGGGCTACTGTAACACCTGAATGTAATATGATAACACCTGAGTGTGACCAAATTGACTTAACTGGTGAAATTGAATTTTCCAGTCGCCTTTTTTGTATTTTCTATTTTTTAATTTTAACGCTTACAAACTGTACCTGGAACCGGGGAACCAACGCCAGACGAAATTGGGTTACATCTACCGAGGTAAGAAAGGGTCAGCTTTGTGGTCCATTGAGCGGAATACATTGACCTCACTTTGGGGGCCGCAATCTCGGAAGGGTCCCCTTATATGGCCATTTGTATCCGTCGTCGTATTTCAAACATTGACTACGAAATCGAACGAAGATGGCTTACGCTAGCCTACTTCCGTCAATGGCCTTTGCTCAAAGACGCATACGCAGCTGAACAAACATGGCAACGGTTGCCAAATGTGCAAACTACTCCCTGGTTTAGGGCCTTTCGGGGCTATGCCAAAGACAACTATCGCGTTCCGGACTGGTTATTAGTAGTTCCTCAGCCTTATCAGCCCTCGAAGCGAGCGCTGCGAAGTCCTCACCGACCAGGCGCTTTGCTTACTGATGGGGAAGGCGCTAGTCAATGCTAGTCATTCTTTGTTTAGCAAGTGCCTCCAGATCTGGAGTTTGCCTCGCATCCATTTCTTTTGACAGCTGGAGAGAAATGCTCCATCTCAATCGAGCTTAGTTCAAGATGTTTCGTTTGCGGCCATCAAGGCGGTCCCAAACTATTACTAGCCACCCTCATCTTCTTCCCAGCAGGTTCCTTCCACATTGTCTGGCTCGTAGGAGACACGGCCTTTCCGGAACCGGCACGGCTGGAGTGTCGTCGATCACGGTCCCAAAGACCTTGAGAGCACGTGGTCTTATAGTCCTGGCCGAGGATGGCGAACATGGCAGCTTGGATTTTGTTTTGCTCTAAGGAAACGGCTTGCGTCATCACCTTCCGGCGCTGCTCCTTGGAGATGTGGGACTTTGGAACGGAGTGCCAACCTTGGACTTCGAGAAAAACTTGACTTAACTCCATGATTCTCAATAATGCATCATAATGCATCTCATCCGTCCATCCAGCTTGGAGATGAATTGCAGCAAGGTTTGTCCTGAACAAGGTCGTGGTGTATCAAAGTATGCCGCAAAATCTCAACTTTGAGGAGTCATACTGAAAGGCGGTGTCGAGCTGTGTGAGGATGTTGGTGAAGGGGTCAGGATCTTCTGCAAGATCGAGGTCAAAGTCCTCCACAATGCGCCATGCTGGTCCTGTCAACGAGCCCAACAGGTTCAGCACAGCTTCTCCATGTCGTTTCGCCAATACCATCTTGCGATGGTAGATGGTGATCCGTTTCCTCCACTCTTTGTAGCTGGAGCCCGTTCCATCAAACAGAGGGATGTAGCTGCAGGTGAACGCACCAAGGGACAAGGCAGTCAAATAGGGTGAGCGAAGGTCCGGTAGAAAAGCTCGACCTGCTGGCCAAAGAGTTCCGCAGGGTTGAGTGAGGTGTAGTGTAGTGAAGTGGACAATGAAAGTGTGGAGTGGGCAGGAGCGGGCTGGAGCGTCCCACTCCGCTACCTATAGCTTGAGAGCAGACAGGTCAGGTAGTGGTCCAAGAAGCTGAAAAGGGACTCACGAAGTTCCCAATCCCAGGCGCTGCGATGAAGGAGCACCTTTTCAAACCAAAGCCATCGGCTTGGCGCGCGCGTTGAAGCAGCCATACATGCACATGCGGCTTGAATCACGTGACTGCTTCAATCTGCTTCAACACCACTTTGAGATTTTGACAACCCTCAGAAATCTCTGACATATACGACACACAAACGCACGACGCAAGACTTGTGTAAGGACACATCAGTTGTGATCAGCAGAAGATTCCACTCCGGCAGCTTAAACGCGCAAGCTCTTCCCTTAAATCTTTTGCTTGAAAGAAGTTTCTTCTTGCCACAACCAAATGTTCAGCAGCGGAAGCCTGCGGGTTCGGTTGACGATTTTGCCAACTTTGCCCTCAATGATCGCAATATGATAACCGTAATTTGGTCATAACAAAAACATACACTTACAATCAAACACATCCTGATTCAAGACGTTTCCAGACTTCAAGACCAGTCGTCCAAGGAATCATGTACGAATGGAAAGAGTACGCCAGAGTCAAGATTATGGAGGAGGTGAGTTTTAGACGCACCAAGTCGATTCTGCAAGCAAACCAGCGGCCAGGGGTAACCATTATCTGATGACCACCTGGCCAGCCTGACCACAACCCCATGCCAGCCAAGGAATCAATGGTTTCAGCACCGTTCCTGGGCAGCGGAGGACGAGGCGGCCACATTGTCCGCCATTTGCAACGTGAGTGCACTTTGTTTTTTGTTCGCAGTATGGCAGAGCGTCGTTGCCTGTCGAGATTTGAACTGGGGCGGCGCAGGCTAGTAAGTTGGAGGAAACTGAAGCAGAAAGCAGAGAGCCTCTTGCTTTGCAACAAGATGCAGCATCTTCAAACAGAGCTATCCAGGAGGTCCAAGATGCACAGGTATTCTTGATATTTGTGCCTTAAATTGCTTGCAATATAACTATGTATATATATATACATTCTCAAGATTTCCCAAGGATGCTCGCCAATGAACATGCAGCTCGGTATGAAATCTGTTCCGCATCTTCAGATGGTTTACTGTAGGTTTCCAGCTGTCCTTTAGATGCGATGGAGCAAACCAAAGGCAGACATATTAGCATGGAGTCAGCAAGGAAACGGTCAAAACCAACCTGCCCGCATCCAAGGAATCAATACGCGCACTAAAGACAGCAATCGAAAGAAAGGACTTCGATGTTTTGAACTTGTCTTGCGGAAAACCGATGTAGAAATGTAATGACATGCAAATAGGTAAAACTAGGGATTGAAAGGGGCTGAAGAACAGCAAGGCACGTGCTGTCAGCTGTCCAAAGTGTCCCTTTAGCTATGAAGTCAGCGGAGCAAGACAGTACTCCAGCATTCTTGAGCCAGGAAATAGCACTCGTTTCGTCTGTGAGTAGTGGCTTGGACAGATTTTGGACAAACTAATAGCAAAAGGAACCTAATAGCAATGGCCTCCAACCTAGAAGCGATGGCCTCCAACTTATTTGAATCGGATTCCTTCAAAAGTCTTTGAGTCTTCAAACACACACACACACACCTAAACCACAAGTTTCAGCCAAGGCTTCCGGCAAAATATGGAGAAGCGAATCGAGCAGCACTGGGCTGCCAAACGAAAAGCTCGGGATCAGGCTATTGCGCAGGTCGGCCAAACAATGCCAGGAGACATACATCTGCGACATCTGTGTATGTTTCTTTGATGACTCAGATGACTGTCCATCCACAATGTCCAAGGTGCAAAGAGAAGAGGAAGAACGCAGACAAGAAAGGCTGAGGCACCGGAAGGCTAAATGATTTCTTTGTACAGGTATATGTATTAGATTCAAGATACTTCAAGCCCAGTCTTCAAGAGAGTCAGCGTTGTTGAACAGAGTTGGAGAAGATCACAAGCTCTTGCCACTGACACTCGGGAAAGTCAGCCTAAAGTGGGCTCGAGCTCATTGCAATGTAAGCATTGCAAGGCGACAAGCAGAGCGAGCTGCGAAGAAGCCACACGACTTCAGAAAACATCAGAAAACATCCACAGCAGACACCTTGTTGCGGCGATGTGACAAGGTTTACTGATATTGATGACCAAATCGCAGACCTGAAGGACACACTGATGATAATTGCCATAATCTCCCCCCAAATCCGCGAGCGCCGAGGGTGCCTTCGGCATTCGACAACAATGTAACCCTGCAGGGAGGGGCCACAATCATCCACTGATCCAATATTTTTCTAGCAACAAAGTTTGTTGTGTGACTCATTTGACTGTAACTGCAGTTCAACATAGGCCCCAAGGATTCATGTATTTTTTCGGTGAAGCCAAGAGTCTGTCCAACATCTTTGCGGTTCTGGGTTGTCGTCAAGAAGGGGATCCGCATATATCATATATATAAGTAGAGGAAACATTCTTCAAAAGTGCAAAAGGACACAATGTGACACAATATCGTCTATTCAGGGACCTCTATTCTGTTTCTGGCCGCTGCAGGACAGCATTGAGCAGGTCAAGGGTGAGATCCACAAGAAAGAACTCATGAAGCACACCTATCCAACGAAACGTCGTGCCAGTGCTGGTGCCGGCAAAGCTGGAGACGTGCCTTTGTTATTCTCAAACTTTCGCCCCTGTTGGTCAGGTATTCATCTAATCTGGAAATTGTTTTATAACAGTATGTCGAGATCCGGATATTTTTACTTGGCTGGCTTGTCATATCCTGGAAATGCATTATACACGTCCATGTTCAAGTGGCTGCAGACTGCCAGCTGAAGGGTCTCAATCGAGGTATTGTGTTTGTTTGCAAACAACGTTGCTTTGGCCTCTCTTTGACTGGATTGTGAAATCTGTGTCTTATGTCCTTTGCACCGCTGTCATCCCTGTTTGTCAGCCCAGTTTTACAGGAATGAATACTCAAATAGAATGGGCCACGTTGGCAAATAGATTCTTGTGAAGTTGATTCTTATTTGGAATGGCATTCCTCCATGAGGACTTGAATATCAACTCTTGTGAAGATGGCTTTTGAAACGCTTCCCGACCGAACGCTTCCAAAAGGTTAATATTTGTATTGTACTCTTAAGATAAACATGTGTGCTTCCAATCAGCTCAAATTCATTATATACAGTAGTTGACTAAAGAGCAAGGACTCAACTTGAGGTCCTGGCAGTCATTTCTGCCCAGCAAGAAGAAGCTCAAATCCTTTCTGGCAAACTAGTCAGCATCTCAGGTGCTTTCTGTTTCTTGTTTTGCTTTGCCGGAACTTCTGTAAACTTGGCCTTTCCAATGAAACACGTCAAGCGATGTTTTGAGTTTGCAGTGACAATTCCAAATTGGTGAGACGGCTGAGACTGCTTTTCGTATGGCAATAAAAGAGCTCCAATACACGGCGGGCGTGCACATTAGTTCAATCAAGCCGAAAAAAGAGAAACAAAATAGCACGTAGTGAAGATCAACAAGCAAATCGTCACATGTCGGAGCTCACTTTTCCCGGTCCTTTGGTCCTCCCAGTGGACCCGCTTCTAGCTGCTTGAATATACATGTTCTCCGTATTCAAAAATATGGTCTCATACTGGAAGTTGAGAGTATGCAGCAGCAGATTCATTTTTATCGAGCTGTGCGCCCACAACACGCCCACTGGCAACCTAACACAGACATAGCCCTGCAAATGTGATTTGGAGCCTTCACTTGCATGCCTTCTTCTTTTTCTTATTCTTCTTCTGCCTCCTCTTTTGCCGCTTCTTCTGCTTCTCCGTCTTTCTTCTTATGGTTCTCCTAAAACACATGCGCTGCAGCTGCACAGGGATTTTGCTTGGACATGCTGCTAGCGTCACAGATGCAAGGCCTGCTGGCCAGAACCATGTCAATGGAGACAAAGTGATTCAGTTGAACCTTGAGTTGCACATGCCACCCTTTACTTTCAATCAATATTTATGAACCTGATGACCTCGTGAATCAGGGGAAAATCATTAAACCAGGAGTAACAAGAACAACAACTATATAAAGTTCAAAATGCAACATATCACATTGATGAACTCAAGATCCATGAATACAAAGACAGATACCACATCATCACCTTGCCCACAATTCATTTGCATATCTTCACAATCGAGCACACACTTCTACTGTAATCAAGCACAGACTTCTTATGGTTTACCTTATTTGCTGGAGATTGCCGTCGTATAATGTTGAACCTGCCAAGTTGTGGGGGGTCAGTGTAGTAGGGTAGATCCACACGTGTCGCAGGAGCGTAAAGACACCAAAGAGACGTGTTCTATATTCTTCACAAACGCATGCATTCATGCAAAACGCGGGAGGCATTTGTGCAGCAGGGCGTGCGAAATCACATGTTCTGTCGAACCACACCGTTTGGAGTTCTGATGAAATGTGTCCTGTTCAAATTTTGTTTTGCCCTTTGCCAGTTGGAAGTGGTTCAGATTTGCAGGCTAAGGCGCAGTGATTGACCGTCCACCCTTGCACTGGCACTTAAGCAAGTTCAAGTTGCACCTCAACAGGAACACACACTTATTGACATGCGTACGGATCGGAATGCTGCTCGCCACACGGCGACCTAGGACCTATGTGAAAAAAGGGGCCTGAGTAAAAACGGGACAAGTAAGTTGGAGGGTCGAAAGCTGGTTGAGGGGCCATCGCTAGTAGGCTGGTGACAAGAAACACTGGATGCCATCGCACCAGGTTGAAGGCCCTCATGACAAGCTTGGAGGCCTACCTAAAGACCTAAACACCCCTGTGACTCCAAAGGTTGCACACTTATTGACATGCGGCATGCGTAAAAGAACAATATCACAGTGCAACAGATGCGTCTTCGTTGGCTGGAGACATCTGAAGCACACTCCAGCCCCCTGCTATCATGTAAAAGAAGGTACAAGTTCCAATCCAAAAGGATCCCTGTGACTCCAAGGGTTACACACACATCCCCAAAGGGAGGCAAAAACTAAGTGACGAACAAATGTGCATTTGTGTGCGCAGCATGGACAAAAGGATGAGGACATGAGAAAGAGGACCGACGGGACAAAAGTGTTTGTGGTTGCAATGAAAAGGGAAATGCACAGGGACAAACGGTGAGCCAAACCTCATTATCAGAACCTGGGCGACCTGAAACCTAAAAGTGTACAGTAGATGCGCGCGTGCAAACTAAGGCCCGGACCCGCGCAAGAGAAAGAAAGGAGTGAGATGACAGGACATGACGCAAGGAAAGACATGAAACAAAGAAGGGAAGAAAGTGTGTGAAAAGGGGAAAGGATGAAAAAGGACACCAATGGAGGGGCCGGGAACCAATGAAGCCAGACCTCATTACAACGAAGCATGTGTGTGTACCTAAGGTTACGACAGGTGCCAGTGCCAATGAACCTAAAAAAGAACTTTGGTCACTCTGACCACGTGGTGGCGTTAGCCTGCTTGGACCGCTGCGGTCACCTACAGTAATGGCTTGTCCGAAGACTGCCTCCTTGGAATTCAATAATCCGTCAAGTCTTGGCAAATAACTTTGGCACAAGCCTACTCCGCCCGCTCTGGGCACTGCGTTTCCGCGGCAGTGGAAACATGGACAAACCCCCGTTCAACTTGTCCACAGGGGCCACTCGGGTCACCCTGCGCTCTCACATGCATACGGATTGAAACGTCGCTCACCACAGCGACCTAAGTGAAAAAGGGGGCATGAGTAAAAACGGGACAAGTAAGTTGGAGGTCATCGCTCTTAGGTTAGAGGCCGTCGAAAGCTGGTTGAGGGGCCATCGCTAGTGGGTTGGTGACAAGAAACGCAAGACACACAAAACAGCCAAGGTTAGAGGCCATTGCTAGTAGTGGGAGGCCATCGCACCAGGTTGAAGGCCCTCATTACAAGTTTGGAGGCCTACCTAAAGACCTAAGCACCCCTGTGACTCCAAAGGTTGCACACTTACTGACATGCGTTAAAAAAGAAGCAGGTGTGTAGTTCTGGCGGCCCAGAACTATATCACAGTACAACAGATTCGTCTTCGTTGGCTGGAGACACCTGAAGCACACTCCAGCCCCCTGCTATCATGTAAAAGAAGGTGCGAATTCCACTCCAAAAGGGTCCCTGTGACTCCAAGGGTTACACACACACAGCTCAATCAACGGTCACCACAGGTCAAATCAACACAGACCGTCATAATCCACACGTCATTGGACATCATCGCAGATCGTTACAGAGCGCACATCCACAGGTCGCCACGGCTCCGCAGAAGTCGCCTGAACAATTGGCAAATAACAGCAGATTACCAGGCATCACGGATGATTACTGCAAATCCACAACCGCCAGAAATCACATCTCGCAGGAAAACAACAGTAATTGGAAATCACCGTATATGCCCATTATTGTTTCAATAAATACAGTCAAGAGATTAAACGCATGCAGCACACGCAAAAGTATAAGCTCCTCATATGGAACCGCATACATCACATCTGACGCGCCGACTTTCTGGAAGCTGCCCCGAGAATGATTGCCACCCACTATTGGAAAAATTCTTGAGATGTTGTGCTTGGCAAATGTGTTGATCACATTGATTCAAGCGATGTGTGGTGGCACGAATTGTGAAGTATTAGGCAATGGCAAGCCAGAAGCTGGAGGCTGTGTGGCTTTTGAAGGTAATCAGATTTGAGTTGCTGTATACTTTGGATTTGCCTGGCTAGACCCTGGAAGATGCTTTGGAGAAAGGGAAGGCCTTTTTTAGCAGTGCAGCCGTGATTTGCCTTAAGATTTGCAGTTGTTGCGACTCGAGCCATCAAGCTTGAAGATTGATTGACACCTCGTTGCAAAAGCGAGTAATTTCAGATGCAAAAGGGGCGATGTTGACAACACACGGCATTGAATAGAGGCATAGTCACATCAGATCGTTTCAGATGTTTATGTCGACCAAGTTCAAGAGCAAAAAAGTACGGAGTCTTCCAGCAGATGTCACAAGCTTAGAGCATCTTACCTTTGCAAATTTGGTTGCAGTAGATTAGCTTTGAGGACCCAGCTGGAGAAGTAGTCAATGAGGCTGGTGGGTTGTGCCCTGTTAACCTATTACCTATGCTAGTAGAATGGACAAGACGCTCCTTGCCAATATGTATGGGTGTGAAGCCTAATTTTGTAGCTCTAGTCATTGGGCCTGTTGGATTACACTGTCCTTTCTGGTGTGTTCTTGCATAAAGACGGAATACTGAATACTGTGGATTGATTGTCCAGGGAACAGGCATGTGCTCTGAGTACTTTATGAGACTCAACAGCTGAAGTTTGAGTTGCATTCACGAGCATAGTGGCATTGCCATAAGATAGCTTCTTTTTGTTCCACATTCTTTCGTTCCACCGTACATAAACATTTCTGTTTTTCGGAGTAGGCAAACAAAGTGACAAAGATTGACTCGGATTTACTGCAATTGGTTCAAGCGTTGCAAGAAGATGAATTCGGAATAGCACAAGAAAAATGGAGCACAAATTTGCATCATTTAATGCCAAATTGTCAGGAAATGACTGAAGCCATGAAAGCGGTGCTCGCACAATTGATGATTGAAGATGAATCCCTGGCTGAGCTCATTTCGACTGCTATCGGTCTAGAGCCCCAATCGCTCGCTTTGATTCGTGAGAGTTGCACATCTAAAATGGACTTCCATGTCGAATTGCCTTAGCGTGAACTGGGCACTTGAAGTATTCGACTTATTCGACAAAACGACTTCGACGTTGTTGGAAGAGTCACGTAGTATATGTCATGTCACAGCACATCATGTTTCATACACCTTTATTTACCAGGTCTAGCCAATTCTCCAGCTGGTCAAGCCGGCACATTGACAAGATTATACTGCGGCTCTCAGTGTTTGCTTCGGCGGTGTGTCTTCACGTCAGGAAAGAACCGAACAAGAAATGGCCTCTTGCGGCTTGATGACATATTTGGGGAAAAGGACCTAGCTCGCTCACATGCATGCCCACATGCATGCCATGTGTGAACATCGAGCAAGGTTCAGAGAGTTGTTACTTGTTACATAGAAACAAGAAGCAACAACCGAAAAAGCAGAAACATTTAAAGCGAATCCCATGTGTTGTGAATTCTGCTCTGCGGAGGATTCGGCACTATCAGAGGCTCAGCACAAACATGGGAAGCTAAGCTACTGGTACTAGTAGCAGCTAGTGAGGAAAAACGAAATGTGCTTGGGCCCCTTTAAAGGAAGCACCTTCTTATTGTTCCTCGCTAGCCTCTAGCTGCTTCCTTTCCTTCGCTTTCGTTTCCTTGAGGGTCACAGCTGAGGATCCAAAGGTTCCTGCGGATGAAATTGTCGCTAGCAATGACCCTGAAGAACGGAAGAGAAAACTCCAGGTGAGAATCTGAGACAACGAGTGTAGAAGACTGCCACCACGCTTTCAATGGGAGCCTTTTGAGTGCTTTATGATATGGCTGTTAGATTGTGATCTGAGGAGATTGAAGCCGAATGTGCAAGGCTTCAGGATGGGAAAATGCTTTGTGAAGCTTTGTGAAGCCCACGATTCAAAACAGCAGAGCTGTGCCTATCCGTACCTGCTTCTGGGAGAACATGAATGTTTCTACACAGTAGGTCGTCCTATAGCTGAATATTGCAGTGTGTCCACCAACGCCCTCTTTTTTGCACTTATAATATCTTATAATCATTTTGTTTGCCCTCCTTACCTGGAGGTTGACATGTCCTCATCACCTGACCAAAGAGATTGACACGAGAATGAAGGTTCCTGGCAAGATATTTGCTGTAATGATGCCAAGGAAGATAGTAGGCACAGCCTATGCCGCCATGCCACATAGGTGGGTTCGTCGGTTTTGGATGATGGCAACATGCTAGGGCAGCCAGGTATTTTCGGATGTGCAATGACAACTCCCAGTCTCCAGGAGGAGATTGAGAATCTCAGTGGTGGGGATCATATTTTGCCAGATCCCATTCCATTGGAGGTGTGGACATTTGACATGCGTTTGCATTCTTTTTACGTTTGTGTCGCGTCGCGTCAGTGCTTGGAACAGAACACTACACAGGCACCTACTGACTTAGTTTGCTCTAGTTGGAGTTGAGTTTTGTTCCTTGTCAAGCAGTCAACTGCGTCTGGTGCATGAGCTTTCGTCCTGTAGGAGAAAGCTTGTCAAACTATACTCAAAGGAAGTTGCGATGTGTCGCGATGAGAAAATCATGAAAAGGTTGTAGTGGAGAGTTACGTGCAACAGAGGGGCAACGGGCGTGATTTGGTGGCTCAGGTGCAAAATGCGGCGGGTGTGACTGGTTCGGTGGGTTCCGATGTGGTTGGGGTGGAGTGCCAGTAGTAAAGTAGGTGTTCGGTCGGCTTGGCGCTATCGAGGTTGCAGTGGAGCAGAAAGTCAGGGTTGCAAATTGCATTGTTCAAGCCTTTGGCCCTTTTTTGCATGCTTATATATGTGCTCCTCAATGTCTAAGCCTAAGCGCCAAGCCATAGCCAGGGAAGCTGACTACTTTCTATGTGGCGGAGTCGCTCTCTCTCTCTCTCTCACGGTCTCTCTCACGGTGCCATCAAGAGTATTTGCCACCGTCTTAGCCACCAGAAACTTTTTGTTTGACTGTGCGTTTGGCACATGTCGTGCTTTTGTGCTTTGGGTTAAGTGCGCCTCCCATTGTGCCTCGCCACGTTCGCTTGGCTTTGCATTTGTGACCCTCCAGCATCTCCAACTGCCAAGACTGCCAGCGAGTCCAGTGTACCAGAGATAGCCATCCTGCCATAGTCTGCGCTTCAGCCAGCAGACACGTCCCATGGTTTAGCTTCTTTGAACCCCGCCAGCTTTGCCAGAGATTGCACTTGAAGTGATATCCCTCCTTTGATTTGTTGGTTCTTGGGCTTTGTTGTTACCAAGCAGCACGTTCAAAAGGAGGACGCGCAAAAGGTCAAGCTGCAGACGCAGAAGGATGAGGCGCGATTGAACGGTTGCAGGCTTGCAGGTTTCAGATTACCTCATGAAATCTATTAAATACATTCAGTAGCAGCATTTACAACATGTTGATTTTTAACAATTGAAGCACACGATATGTTTGCAGGGCTTTAATATGTATTGTTTGTTGTATCTTTCTATAACAAGCTTTAAGGTGATGCGTTCGTCTCTTGTCCTGTCCTGGAGGCCATTCAGAAATTGTTATCGAAGGCAACAGCAGCTCGTTCGGCTATGAACCAGAAGAAGGCAACGTTGTACAAGCCAATTTTGTTCGGTTGATCAGTGAACCTCAATTTTGACTTTAATCTCAACATTTGATCATATGTGTGCCGTGCCAATCCGTGCCATGTTTCAAAAGCCATCTTGTATGGGGAGATTCTGTGCCAAAAAGGAGTGTTTCATATGTTATATAATAATGCGAACTTTTTCCTTCAACAAGTCTAAAATGATGTACATCTGTACTGTGGTCTACCTAGAAACATGTTCACACCTCTTCTTGGTAGTGCGAGCGCTCGAATTGCTGTTTTAGCTCACTCACTCTGCCACCATAAGCTTCTCTACTCAAATGTGTATTCTGTTGGTCTTTGCATCCGCGCCTCTCAGGAACAGGGTTCCTAGAGGTGTCTGATTCCATCCTCTCTGGGCCGGTCTCTCCTCAACTCTGCTAGTTCAAGCAATCGTTCATATCGATCTATCTCATAACTCATGGCATTTGCTCTGTTCTCTTCTCCTCTTCCTAGCAGAATTTGTTGTCTCTCTTTCAATTTCTCGATCTTCTCAAAAACTCGACCACACATTAGTATTGCCTCTTCCTTCTCATATTCTACTCTGATGGTCTGTTCCCTGTTTACTGGTTTGAATCTTCTTGTCAATGATGGTCCTTCTGTGGGAACTGCTCCTTCTAAGCCTGGTTTCAACATCACTTTGTGACGGCGATAATGCCCTTCTGTTGTTCTCATGCCGTCCAGGCTCCTTCTGATTAAGAAGTTTGCTGCATTGATCTCTCCCATCATGTCATAGCTGACTATCTCAAGAGTATATGGTACTTCGTCTTTTACACAGCCTCCATTGAAAATCAATCCACTATTATAGTCTTGAAGAAATCCTATCCTGTCATGGGCACCCTCTACTTGGTCAAACGTCCTTTCAATCTCGACTATTCTCATCTTTGCTCCACCAACTCTATCACCAAGAGTACTCATCAAATGCAATTGGTTTTCTTCAAGTCGCCTCTCAACATACTTGTAGAGCTTCCGCATTGCAAAGATCACTGCTGCAAAACCAATGATAATGATCATGATAATCGCAATGATCACAACTTTCCAGATTCCATTGGATTCTTCTACTTCCTCCAATCCACACTGCTTGTTTTCATTCTGTTTCATGAATGCTTCTGTAACCATTGGCTGCAAGCCCTCCAATGCTACAATCCTGACAATCATCTTGGCAATTTTGTTGACCTTGCCTGCAAAGTTATTTTTCTCTTCACATGCTCTTCTCTCAAGCTCTCCAACCACCCTTGTTTGCTCTTCACTGTGTCAATAGCCAATAAGGTTCAACAAGAATCTGATTCTTTGCCCTCCTAACGGCTTTGTATTGATGTTTGCCATGTTGCTGTCTGTTGGTACTTGTACCATATTGAAGTCTTTCCTGTTCTGAATCCACAGCAACTTTCCATCTAAGTGTCTCACTTTTCCAACTCATCTTTTCAACACAAGTTGGCGCGCACTTGCTGAATCTGTGAAAATGTAATGATCCACCGTTGTCCCAAGCGCAAATCCAAGAACTGAGCGAATGTAGATTCCATCTGATGCTGAGTAACTATTGCGTGCAACTCTGCTTCACATGAAGATAAGCTAATGATCTTCTGTGTCCTGCTGCTATTGAACCATGGGCACTTGTTCAATGCATGGAATCCTCCTGATGTTGACTTTCTGTGGCTCTTGTTTCCACTCCAGTCTGAATCTGGGAATGTCTCCAAGCACCAATAGCTCTCTCCTTTATTCACATAGCCTTCTCCTGCTTGCGGGAATTCAACTTACTGGACAATAACCCATAGTCTTCAAATATCCCAAGAACTTCTTCAAGTGATGAAATGCCATAGTTGTTGGAGCCATTCTTGAAACCTAACTCCTTCACTGTAAATGCTACATCATACCTTTCTTGACATAGGTAAATACCTGAGCCAACAATGCTCCTGAATAGGCTAATCCATTCTTGGTCATCCAACACTTCTGACTTGTCTTCCATTTGGATGGAGGTGTCTGATGGTAGTTGTTGAAGTTTGATCTTGCCAATCTGCTCCTCATAGGCTTTCAGCATCTGCCGGATATAGTTACCTGGCTGGATCCATAGTCCATCGACTTCTAACTTGCTTGTAGTTACTCCTCAGGAAATTGAGTTCGCTCACACTGGTGTCAAACCTGTCTTGAATCTTTGGAAGAGAGATTTCATTCATGTACTTTGAACAACCTGTGAAAATCAAGTCTCATCCACATGAATCAAAAAGATACTCTTTTCATTCCTTCCCAGGCATGGACGCTCAGCGCTGAACTTGTAATTGATTTCCTCGGTGAGGTACTCCGTAAAGAAGTCCAACCATCCGTTTGCTCCAGCTAACTCATTGTCCAGGTAAATTTCTCTTCACTAAGAATTTGTCTCCTCTCAGGTTCACCTTCAATGGCTTCTCTTGTGGAACTTGTAAGAAAGCATCTTTCACATCAAGACAACCTAGCATTTGAGAAAATCGTCCTTCTCCCTCTCTTGCTTCTTCCTCTTCACTAACCCTCTGCAAGAATATTGTGGGTAGAAGTTTCAGTACATGTCCTGAAGTTGCTGGTCTATCTGTCCTTCAGCAAAAGCAATTTCTCTTGCAACTAGCCTTGATCTTCTCTTCCACCTTTTGCTTGTTGTTCCATCTCCATGGTGATAAGGTTTCTTTCTCCAGTCATACACGTTGCGTGTTGTCAGATAACTGATGCCTTCTGTGCTACCTTCTGGTCTCTCTAGCACTTGCATTTTCTGGAGTCTCTTCTCTTCAACCTCATCAGCTACTCTGTCAATCCACTCTTCTGGGTCTTCTTCTGGTTCATGTTCTCCATCGCGCCACAAGCATTCAGGTCCATTCACTTAATCTTTTTCTTCTTCTTTCTTCTTCCTAGTCTTCCTCATCTGCAACTGGGGATAGCTCTTCAACTACATGATAGATCTCTTCTCCCGCAACCTTCACCAAGTTGATCTTGGCTTTCTTGCTAGAATCTTCTGATGGCCTGAGTTTCTTCATAGGGCTTTCTTCTTCGAGCAATTCAAAAGCTTCCCTTGGTCTTGAACGCGCTGATGATGATCTCGGTAGTATAGGAGTAGTTGGTTTGGGTTGGCCTGCTCGCAATGATGTAGATGGGAATGCTTTCACCTTCTCAAGTGTTTTCTCATCTGCAAAGATAACTTTTTGCTTCTTACTTGGTGTTTCTTCTCCACTTGGCTTCCTCTCACCTCCATCTCTCTTCAATGCTTCCACAGGGATTTCCAGCGGGCTGGAATCGGTATTGGTTCTGGGAATAGTGCCTCTTCTATCCTATTCTTTCTCTGAATCACTTCCTCCTTCAGGAGCTTTTGCCATAACTGCTGCTGCTTCTGCATCTTCATCTTTGAGTTTCAACATCACATGCTCTCGAGGAATGCCTGTCTGTGCTGCTGGCAATGCTTCTGCTCTTCTCTTTGTGGCAATAATTCTGCCTCCAAAGTTTGTCTGGCACTCCCATGAATAGGCATTGAAGCTTCTGTAGCTTGGTAAATATTTGGACCAATCCTGATCTGTTCTTCAAATGCATTTGCTTAGCACAACCTGCGCACCATTTGTCAGCACATAAGTGTCTTGCCTTTCCACTTTTCCCAAGAACAAGCATAGGTGCCATCTGGCTTCTCCTTTCTTGAGACTTCTGATGTAACATGATGTAACCATGAACGGGTTCACCATACTCTGCCAAAAGTCCCTTGTAACTCTTGCCATAGACGAGCTCATAGGGGAGTTGCACCCTTGACTGGCTGAAATCTATTCAGCGCCCAACTGGCATGTTTTGCTGCCCAAGTCCAAAGTGCACGATCTGATCCAATCTTGATGCCAAGTCTTGACTGCACACCTTCAATAAAACTTTCGGCAAGCTTCCCCACCCTGTCAACTGTATTCTCTGACAGAAATGAATGATCTCAAGCTTTGAGGTGTTCAATCCTTTTGTCAATTCTAGGCTGTGTCGAGCGTTGTTTGTCTCGTTGTTAGTTCATTGTCACTCCTGTAGGTGATTGCTGAATACCCCAATAACAATTGACTGAAAATAATCAACTCCTGCACAATGAGACGAAGTTGGTTCCTGCTTCCTAATGGCGCAACATGAATGTATCCAGTCTGGCTGTCGATTGCAACTAGCCAACATACTGCTCTTGCCGGCTTTGTTTCTGAATCCCTTGCTCTTGTGTAGCAAAAGTCAAAGCTTACCTCAGGAATACTTCCTCTCTTCACTCCATTTGTTCTCTCATGGCGGCCTGGACGTACTGGATGCTCAACGCACACCCATTCGCGTATGGCATGTGTGTCAACCTGTGCCTAGCTTGAGTGGCTTCATCCGCCATCTTTGCCACACTTTGTCCTGGTGCTTCTCTTGTCTCTTGAGCTGTTGCTTCACTCACCAAGCTTTTGGCATTCAAGAGCTCCATTCTCTTGTTGTGATTGATGATTTTGGTGTAGACCTTTACTTTAGAGCCACTGCCTGAGATATCGAGAAATGAACATGCTGCCCTCAAAGTTGCTAGAGTAGAATCTTGAGTCAACTCTACTCCATTCACCAAGACTTTGTCTACATCCATTGGGCTCAACTGCAATTCACACTCTAGGTCTTGTTCTTTCTTATCTTCTTCGTTCTTGTTTGCGACCTCCTTCTCCGGTGGAGTAGGGGTAATCTCTTCGATTGCCTTCTCCACTACTTTCTTTCTCTCTTCCCTGCTCTCGAGCTTCTTGTACCCTGGCGCAAAGAATCCCATATCTTCTGGTAGTGCTGGCTCATAGCATTGTGATTGACGGAATGACTGCATCATCATCAAAGAATTGCTCATCAGGAGCTGTGATCGCCACTGTTGGGCTGATGGCCAGAAGCCGAACACCTCGCAATACGACAGCAGAGTGCACAACGAGCCTGCCGAAAATCCAAATGCAGCTGAAGACCAGCACAGTCCTACCCATTATGCAAAGCTACATGGACGGTGAGTCTGCTGCTAATTGGACTCCGGTCTTCCAAACCCTTGTGGCTATGGTGAAAGATCCCCCTTGCTACCGCCATACTGAAATCCTATGGGTTGACGTGACCATTTCAGACAAAAATCATTTCACAAAAAAATATCAAAAAAGCAAATGGGATATGGCCCTGGAAAAAAAAGATCAACTTGAGCTTTTGAAAATTCCTTCGGCACATGGTATGAAAGCACGTAGGCACCAGGATTCCAAAAACACGTTGGTTACAGTATTTCACTAAGATTGTAAGGATTTTACAAAGAGGACTCTTTTCGTGGACAGTTTTGGTAAACCTTTGATTGTTCGTTAAAAAATGTGCTCAAGCGATGCGAGAAATGCAAGGGACATAGCCGGCACCATAGGCATCAACATAGGCATCCAGAGGGCGTCCTTTTTGAGCGTTTTTGAAGCCAAAAAAGATACCAAAAGGACGCCCGCATCATCAGCATCATTGTTGTCATCCTAAGATGCCGAAAGACACATGGAGCTTTTGAAAGCAGCAGAAGTTGAGAAAACATTATTTCACTAAGGTTGTAAGGATTTTACAAGGATGATTTTGGCCAACCTTACGGGGCTAAGCGTGTGATTCACAGCGGACCCCTAGGCTAACCTTATGGAGCTAAGCATTCTTGTGAAATCGCTGGAAGAAAGCTTGACGGTGTTTGCAGTGAGAGAGAGAGAGGAGAGCGAGAGTGAGAGTGAGCGACGGACCGCGCAAGCGCGAGAGAGCCAGAGAGAGCGAGAGTGCCAGAGAGAGAGCGAGAGTTTTTGGAGGTCGGACCCCTAGGGTAGAGAGAGGGAATGGGGGGGACCAGCTAGGGTAGATACCCAGGATTTAAATAAGGGGTTGATCAGCCCCGGACTAGTTGTTTTTTCCTTAGCTTGCAACCCTCAAAAGCACGTTGGTTCCATAGGATTTTACTAAAATCAACTTTTGGTGAAAAAACCCTAGGGCACCACTGAAAAACTAGAAAGTCACCTTGGTTCGATAGGATTTTAGTATGTAAAATCCTGGGGATCAACCTTAGCGGTCGGTACGAAGGGGGATGTGAAAGCGGAGTTGAATTAGGATCGGCTGGAGTGGGTTGTGGAGGTGCAAGCAGACATCAACGACAGCATCGAAGTCACTTGCCGTAAAGTCTTCCCCAAGTCTCGCCCATGATGCGGGCAACTCAATCCACCTTGACCAAGAAGACACCAGACGAGTGGCGCCAGCGCGTTCTGCAGATGTTGCGCGCTGCACGCGCCACCTTCCAACACTATAGAATTCTTCAGCAATCCGCGGCGGCTCTTTTTCCAGGAGCTCCGGGCAAATGAGCTGTCTCATATCCAGGACTATTTGCAGAAGGAATTATACATCCGAGAGGTTCCTGTCAATACCCTGTCTCGCATGTATGGTATTCGAGCGTCCCCCGACACGCCGAAGTCTATCCTTTGGCCGGACTGTTGGGCTGGAATCCTGGCGATTCATCCTGGGAGCGCAACAGGGACACAGAGGTTCGGAACATCCAACACCACGCCCGGGCAGCGCCAGCAATATCCTGAAGGCTGCGTAAGGGCTGTGTCACGGATCATGGCAAACGTGGATGAGAGAAGACGCAGGATGACGCAGGCATGGGAAACGCCCGCTAACCAAACCATTTTTTGCCAACGGCCCGGTGTAGACATGCGTCTGATTGGTATTACACAAGAGAGCTAGGTGGAATAGGAGCTGTACTATACAATATAAAAATGGCCCAGACAATGTCTACCTCTCTGGCCTGGAGTTGCACAGACTGGGCCAAAATTCCGCAGTGGAGTACTGGGAGGACAGAGACAAGCACAACTTCAAGTCTCCTAATTATGGGCTCATCATCTGAGATGTCGATCACCCTGCAATCTTCCATCTCTGGCTCATCATCGTCATCATCTCCAGTGTAGAAATGAATCACTCCATTTCCATGATCTCCTGACTCATCATGTCCTTCTCTCAGGTAAAAACGATGGGCTTACTGTTCTCAATCCTTCTGACCACTGGCTTGGTATCTTCTGAGCTACTCAGCTGGCTGACATTGGCTTGCTGTTGGCCAACTGTGTGAGTAGTCACTGATGTTCCTCCTCAAGATGAATGTGCTGGATCTCTTGCAACCTGTCGAATATTGTATCTCCAACAATCTCGAGCTAGATGCCCTGCCTTTCCACAAGTGTAACGTGTTGCCACGCCTTTGCCTGCCTTTACCTTTGCCCTTGTGGTCACCTTCTGTTCTTTTCTGATCTCCTTTTCCTTTGGCGTCCTTACCTTTGCCCTTTTGATGTTCATTCTTGCCCTTTCCCTTGGCATCTTGAACTCGATCAACGTCCATAGGCATGGGTCCTTGGTAATCTGTACTGCTACTCGCAACCATTGAAGTAACCCACTTCTGCTGAGAACGATCCCATTGCAACACTAGTTCCCTCAAAGTTGAGTATTGAACATTGTCGCCCATTGTCAAATTCAAGTATGATTTGAGTTGTCCACCTACACATCTCACAAGAATAGCAGATTTTGACTCTTCTTGCATTGTCCCTGCCTTGACCCTCTCATCAAAAACTTCTTCAAGCTTCAGAAGTTGAGGTGGTAGTGCACTGTCGATAGAAAATGATGGCCATGTAGTAGCTGCCCCCAAGAATGCTAGTCCTCTCTGGCCTTTGAAGTAGGTTTCAAAGCTTTCCTTGAGGCATCAAAGCCAGGACATTAGAGTCCTCCACAGCTTTAAGCAATTGCAGCGCTCCTCCCCTCATCAACGAAGCTATCAATCCATCGAGCTTGATGCACCTGGTTTTCTTTTCTCCAGTTGCCAATTCCATGTCAAATTTCTCATTTGGCTTGTCATGAAATTCTTTCAAGTCTTTCGTGTAAGCCCCATCAACTGACCTCAAATACATCTCAAATACCCATGACCACTCTTTGAATACTTTGATTTCCTCTTCTTGTGACTTATAGTCAAAGATGTTGGGCTTTGCAATCAATTTTGACCAATCAGTTGTTGATGAGTTCTTGTCTTCAACTGCTTTCTTCACTGCCTTAGGTGCTGATGTTGCTGCTTGCGTACTCTGTGCGTTAACTGTGAGGATCTCCCTGATCTCCTCCATCTCCAGTGCACAATAATGTCCTTCTGACGCAATGTACGGGGTACGGAGTGCAGCTCACAACAATTTGTCACCACTCCAACTATTTGGGTTCCAAAGGCCTTCAATCTATGGCTCGAAATCGCTCCCGGGATCCCAGTGACCTAGGGTTTTTTTCTCTGGAGCTCAAAGTTCTCCTCAATCCAAAAAGGGGCTTCAACAAGTCTCATGATGCAAGAAATGCTGTGCATCTGTACTGGGGTCTACCTTGAAACATGTTCACAAAATGGTATATTTTTACAACTGCCATCCAGACTGCGGGTGTGGGTTCCGGCGTGCATTGATTGGTCTCTTGAAGATGGTAGCGAATTCCTTGACAAATTTAAGTTCGCACCTGCTCAAGTTCACGGTAGTTCATGTGAGCCAAACGAGTGGTCTGTGACAACCCAACTGTCCAACTTGCAATGTTGTTTGTTGATGCTAGCAGATTGCTGTGCACCTTCAATATACTGCAAGGCAGCTACGACTCAAGCTCAGCAATCACAATCCTATGAGAGACTTAGCAGCAGTTTACTGTTGCCAATCACAGCGTATATCATAGTTATAGTTACAGTATGATACGATATGTATATGTTACATATATGTTATATGTGTGCGTCTTGCGGCCAACAAGACAATTTTTTGTGTATTGGTGCTGTGAAGATCATGGCTTTTAGATTCTGTTCTCAGGCCATCTGGAATTCCTACTGGAGGCAGGAATCTGTTGCAGTTGCTTCAATTGTTTGCCAGCCTGCTCTGGCCATTTATGTAATTTTTCTTTGGTCCGAAGTTTGTCCGGGCGCTTGTTTTGTTTGCAAATGGCAGCTAGCCAGATTCCGATGGATTTCCCTTTTGATAAGTTTGACCTCACCCTGGCGAAGGACGCAAGGTGTAAACTCAGAGGGTATATATATGGTGTATATATATAATATAGATAGGGCAGAAAGTGACTGAGAAAAAATTACTTTACTTCGAGTGATCCCCACCATGACAGTTCAATCATTTGACTTGATGCCATAGTGAGGAGCATGTTGCCATGGTCGTGAGTAAGTTCTCGATTTTGCTTGTGGGTCCTCGGGTTGCGTGCTGCGGTTGTGTGTTGTGGTTGTGGTTGTGTGCTGTGTTGTGGTTGTGGTTGTGTTTGTGATTGTGTGTTTGTGGCTGTGTGTTTGTGATTGTGTGTTTGTGGATGTGTTTGCGGTTGCGCTTGTGGATGTACGTTTGTGGTTGTGTCTTTGTGGTCGTGTTGTTGTGTTTGCGTGTTTGTGGTTGTGTGTTTGTGGTTGTGTTTGTGGTTGTGTGTTTGTGGCTGTGTGTTTGTGGATGTGTTTGTGGTTGTGTTTGTAGTTGTGTGTTTGTGGTTGTGTTTGTGGTTGTGTGTTTACTGTTGTGTCTTTGTGGTTGTGTGTTTGTTGTTATGTTTGTGGTTGTGTGTGTGGTTGTGTTTGTGGTTGTGTGCTGTGGTTGTGTTTGTGATTGTGTTTGTGGTTGTGTGTTGTGGTTGTGATTGCGCTTGTGATTGTGTATTTGTGATTGTGTGTTTCTGGTTGCGTTTGTGGTTGTGTGTTTGTGGTTGTGTGTCTATTGTTGTGTGATTGTGGGTGTGCGTTTGTTGTTATGTTTGTGGTTGTGTTTGTTGTTGTGTTTGTGGTTGTGTCTTTGTGGTTTTGTTGTTGTGGTTGTGTTTCTGGCTGTGTGTTTGAGTTTGTGTGTTTGTGGTTGTGTTTGTGGTTGTGAGCTTGTGGTTGTGTTTGTGGTTGTGTGTTTGAAGCATACTATCTGCCATTCAATCTGCCATTCTATCTGGCAATCTATCTGACATACTATCTGGCATACTGTCTGGCATACTATCTGGCATTTTGTCTGGCATACTATCTGTCATTCTATCTGGCATATCTTCTGGCATTCTATCTGGCTCTGGCATTCTATCTGGCATACTTTCTGGCATTCTATCTGGCAATGTATCTAGCAATCTATCTGACACACTATTTGACATACTATCTGGCATATCTTCTTGCAGCATTCTATCTGGCAATCTACCTGGCATTCTATCTGGCATTTTATCTGGCAAACTATCTGGTTGAGGTCCAGCGGTGCACACTGCGATCGGATCCTTGCGGTTGAGGTCCAGCGGTGCACACTGCGATCGGATCCTTGCGGTTGAGGTCCGGCGGTGCACACTGCGATCGGATCCTTGCGGTTGAGGTCCAGGCGTGCACACTGCGATCGGATCCTTGCGGTTGAGGTCCAGGGATGCACACTGCGATCGGATCCTTGCGGTTGAGGTCCAGGGGTGCACACTGCAAGGGGATCCTTGCGGTTGAGGTCCAGGGGTGCACACTGCGAGGGGATCCTTGCGGTTGAGGTCCAGGGGTGCACACTGCGATCCGGAGCTGGCCAGACAAGATCGGCGAAGCAGATTGGCGATGAAGATTGGCGAGGAAGGAAGCAAGGAGGAAGGAAGGAGGAGGACGCGGCGGAGGAGGAGGAGGAGGAGGAGGAGGAAGAACAACTGTGATAGAATCTAACAACCCTCACCTGGCAGGTGGGGAACAAAAAGTTCATGCGGGGACAATCGCACAGGTGCAAAGATTTGATGCAACAGTAGCTAGAACAACAGTCATGTATATTTTATATACAGTATGTATATATATATATATATAGTGTATTCAGATCATCTAATCTACATGGTATTCTTGTGGTCAAGAAAATGCAAGACTTGTGCTCACCTTGCCCTGAACTGTGCTTCAGGTGACAGCAGTGCAGATGGCGAGGGTGATGAAGAAGAGGCTCGAAAACACGAGGTTCAAAGCTCAGAGGCAGAGAAGGTGATAAACCAGTGGGATGTGAAGTCTTGTATATATTGCTTTAAGAAATGGCAGGAAGGTTTTGAACATATAGACACAGGTTTGGAGTTTTTAGGAAGATTTGAGGAGTCTGATGAATATGCTGAAGCCACTCGACAAATGGAAGAGCACGAAACTCAGCCCGTTACATAATGTCAAGAGACCAATCAGAGAGATCTAGCAGTTTTTGTGTGCAAGTGGAAGTATGTGTTCATTCAGAGGTTGTTGATCATGGTTGGACCCCCAACTTCAAGAATGTGTTTTTTTTCAGCCTTTGGATCTGATTTTAGCAACTCGCACTTACTTGCCCAGGGACAGCTTTGCGTGTTTGCAGTGAGGATACACCCATGCAAGGTATAAGCCTTCAGAGACCTGAGTGGTTTATTTGGCCATTGAGGCTTGCCAAGGTGGACATGAGTGAAACAAATTATATTGGCTTGTCCACCGTCCAGATCATTGTAATGCACAACAGTGGTCAACAGTGTTGTTCTTTTGCTTTCTCAACTGTCCTGTACAACAATAACGATGACGACTATGACGGGGGTGATCGCAAAGGTGGCTTCACTGCCAAGAAAACAGGAACAGGACGACTACAGTACAGTATTATAAAGAAATGCACGAACCTTGGGATGCTTTTGGGCGTCGCAGCTTCAACGCCATGCTGTGTGGTCCAACCAATTGGGGTAGAACAAGCCTGATAGAATGCTATTCTTGTGCAATCTTGAACATGCTAAGGCCATCTAAGGCCAATAACAAGGCATGCTACTGTTTTAAAGCCTCAACTGCCTCAACTTGTTTGCACCCCTGTTGAATTCCATACACTTTCAGCACAGAAGGCTTTGTGATCCTTTTCCACATTGACGGTGCCTGCTTGAATGCCAAAAATAGAGCATTCTTGAAAGCTGTTGTTTCTCCGCTCTAGCCCTTTTGACAAGCAATGGCTGTCATTGCATGTTTTCAAGTTTGGCAAAACTTTTGCAAACATTCCTTCAGCCCGTGCCAGCAGAACACATGAGGAACCTCAGTCGAAAGTTGTGGTTGCGGCAAGACACAAAACGCAAGTTTGACAAGCCCATTCTCTGCGCCAACCAGCTGTTGCGTCAATGCTGGCTGGAATTTCTGATTGTGCGTGTATACGCATGTGCATGTTTTGGTTCGATGCCACTTAGCGGTCTGAAAGGTTGATTGTAATTATTGTTCAAGTGGACTGCCTGTGTGTAACTACCGAATGAGAGTTCTAAGCTTCTAATTCGAGGCAGAAAGTGAGGGCTGCAGAGCTTTCCCTGGAGGCGCCCTGAGGATGAAGATTGATGAACGACGCTAAATGCATGCCTGAAATTGCTCTCTCGAAGCTGCTTTGAAACGCCAGGTGAAGGACCTAATGCCCTAAAAGGGTGATTTGCAACTTCGAAACCTTTTTGCCCATCGAATAGATAAGAAATTATAGCAAGATATTTATGCTGCCACAAGGCAGGGAGAGCTGCGAGTCGAGGCCGCCAAATTGTCGTGTCATATCAGGATTTGCATGTTCTCATTATGCGTAAGACTTGTGTCCTCTCTAGGGTTGCTCCTACTGCCAGATCAGATTGATCAAAGTGGGCTCAATCGAAGGAGTCTAAAAGGCCTGCAACCACAAGATCCGCAGGCGCATTGTCTTCACAGGGCAGTATGGCAGAGTGCCTACCACTACCAACGATACTAATTGGATCTCGGCTTTCGATCCAAGCGCTTAGCCGAGGTGGAATCAGATATCTCGATTGAAGATGAAGAGGTGAAAGAACCACATGCAACACATGCAGCAGAAGAAGCGCATGGTTCAGGAGGAATTGATACACGAGGCGCAGATCTGTGTGTACAGGAATTGCTTTCATATTACGATCAACTCGCTGTGGCCTTTTGAACAATCTACTCTAAAAGACAACTTCGCACTATATACAGTACTTGGATCTACTTGGCAAGTATTTTCAGACTGAAAGTTTCTTCAGAAGCAGCATCTCATACTGCCCTGTCTCGTGGAACTCAGCTTGAGAAAGCACGTCAAGCAAGCCAAGCACTGCAAGCAAATCATTCTAGTCGCTCCGTCCAACCTGGAGAGCATCGCCATCATCATCAATATGAATACATATGAATACTGTTTCTACCACATGGTACCACGTTGTTTTTTCAAAAGCCCGCCAAAGAACCCATTGTGAAGCTTGGGGTGGTTGCCGGTATCGTCGTGGAAAGGATCACCATGGTAGATCTTGCCACTTCATAAAATATCGTCGAAATTACCACATCACGTGTCAGCGCATCATGATGTATCCGGTGTTTTGGCAAGCGCACAGGCCCAAAACAGACAAAATAAGTCTTCAGTTTTGGTGTGCGCACCGGCACCCACACACATAAGCACCAGGTCCTGGAAGAGAGCATGTCAGAATCGAGCCCTGTGGAATGAGCCCCACCTTGCCCAGAAAGAGGTTGACGTTCATGCCTGCATGCAACATTCAGAAAGGTTTCGGTTCGGTTGGAATCGGTTTGAATTTTTACTGTAATTGAAAGATCGAATTCGTTCGGTTTGGTTGTAGAAGTATATTTTCATGGATGTTCGGAGGCATAAGCTACGCAGTGGGGTAAAGAAAAGAAAGGAAAAGATAAACAGACAAGACAAGACTAGACTTTTCGGGACAGGACAGGAGAAAAGGGAAGCAAAGGGAAAGGAAAGGAAAGCAATTAAAAGGAAATGTGCAAATGCTATAGTAGCACGAAGTATGGCCTTCCCATCAACATTGGAGTTTCACCAGAAATCTGGCGGTGTAGCCTCAGCCGCCGGCATTGTTTAAAAACACTGGCACACGAACCTTCCAACGACAAGTGACGCTGTGATCGTCACCAAAATGGAAGACCCTCTGAATCTGGGTGAGTTGGATGCCAGGTGTTGAACATAGCCTAGCGGTGGCAAGGGCATGTACACATGAGGTAGGCTGAAGCTCCAGGGTCGATCATACTGGCATCCACCCTGTGACGTCCCTGCATGTCCTCGAAGATCACATGGCCATCGAACGGTGCAGAAGAGGCTGCCATACCCTCAGCGTGTTGTTGTTTTGAAGGCGATGAGGGCGCCTGAGGTCTTGGGTGGCTTGGGGCAATTGGCTGCCATGTGTCCTGAGCCTTCGCATCGAAGGCATTGGATTGCAGCTGAGGACCGAGCTCGAGGATCTGGATAACGAACAGTGGACAAGCTGGAGCGACCCTTCTTGCCACCCTTGCCTTTCCGAGGCGGCTGCAAAACCTTCTTCCTCCTCGGGCTCTTCAACCTGGAAGTCATCATCTTGGCAGGATTCTATGGGGTCTTGTTCATAGAAGTCGTGAAGCTCCTCCTCGAAGAAGCCATCTTCATCTTCCCAGCCTTCATCGGCAAGGTAGGCTCTCTGTCCCTTGCCGCGGCAGAAGACCTTTCGGACGGCGGCGGCTTTGTGATCCTGTCCAAGGATCAGGTAGAGCGCTTCCTGACCCTTGCTGCACTCAAGTCCAGCAGGTGCCTGTGTCAGCACCATTTGACGCTGCTCCTTGGTGATGTTGGCCTTCTTCAAACGGAAGCCAAACACAACTGAAGGCAACTTGACACCATGGGCCTGTACCTTACGTAACTTCTCGTCAAACTCGGTGCAAAGCTGTAAGAGACTCGAGTGGAGCCTGGTTTCCGGACACCATGGGTGAACAAGTTCTTAAAGTCCTGAGGCGTTTGGACCTGCTGTCATAGGCGAATGCCTGGTCCAGAAGCTCTAGTATGGAGTCGAAAGCGGTGGTGTCCTTCTCCACATTCCACATTCTTGAGGTCAAAACCCTCAACAATCTGCCAAGCTGCTCCTTGAAGACTCCCGATGGGATTGAGAACGCTCCCACCAGTTCGCTTCTGCAGCTTCATCTTTACATGGTAAATGTTGATGCGTTTCCTTCCATTCAACATACGATTGAGGCTGGCCATCGGCTGGGGAATGTACATGTAGTTGTTTGTGTGGAGGCCTGGGCGCCGAACATGGTGATGTCCTGGAGGTGGAGCAGCCTGCTGTTGTGTGAAGTTGTTGGTAGTGTAGTTGTTGTGGCTTGTATAAATGTAAGGTGGACGTGGTACAAGAGGAGCGCGAAGTGGCGTGTGCCTGTGTGCGTGTGGGAGATGACCCGGTTGGATCAGAGCTCCGCTACCATGCAATTGCTATGGCTATGGTAGCACGAGGTACGGACACTCGAGGTCGTCGAAAAGACCGCGCGCGAAGTCGGACCGCAACCAGTCAGTCGTCCTCTAGATCCCGCCCTTCTTGAGAGCGGCGTGTTGGAGAACATGCGTGTGGACCGAACGGGCTCCGGGCTCCATGACCGCTTTGCATGGCATGCCAATCACAAACGGAATCAAACGGAAAGGAGTGCAATTTGTGAAGATGTTTTTTCCAGGCCATCCAAAAAGCACATTGGAAAGGAAAACAAGGACAAGGAGAAAAAGGAAAGGGACAGGTAAGGAATGCAATTTGTGAATGTGTTTTTTCCAGGCAGTCTACAAAGCATATTGGAAAGGAAAGCAAAGAAAAGGAAAGGACAAGGAAGGGAAAGCAAAGGAAATGGAAATGGAAAGGGAAGGAAGGAACGCATATTGTGAATACGTTTTTTCCACGCCGGCTGAAAAACATATTGGACAGGGAAGCAAGGACAAGGAAAGGACAGGAAAACAATTTGTGAATGCGCCTGAAACCGGGCCCGCGCCAGTAACATGCTGTATGGTCATTCCGATGTGCACTGCGACTGCTGCTCTGAAACTCCAAGACCTTGGACAGTCTGAGAAAAACGTCGCAGAGCGCTTTGTTGATTGACCTCGGGACAGGGCCGAACGGTTCGTTTTTCTTTTCGGCTCGGTTGTGTTTGGAAAAATGACTGTTGTCTATACGGTTCATGAAAATTTTGTGTTCTTGACATTCGCTAACTTTCGTCTCCGAAAGTTCGGTTCCGAATCGATTCGGGACCTTTAACATTTGTGCATTGACACAATTTCAGGTGGTTTTTCTTTACTACACTTTTGCTGGCCTCGCCGCATTTGCTCAGCCAACCACCTGTGTATTCCGAAGATGTTTGTCGTTACATACTTGTTTTCTTGGCCGCGGAACCTGCAAAGATGTCAAATGTTACCCGTGTCCATGTCAGGAAACATCCCCACCCCCCTTCCATTATCGCTCACGTCGCATCGTGCTCAAACTGGGTGACGAATTTTGATGTGTGTGCCACACGTGCCCCTCACCTTCATAAACGTTTCTAGATTCTAGCATGAACTGGAGTCGTATTCCTCCTTGGCTTGAACATGAGCTCTTCTGCAGCACATTGCAGCACTGACAGCATGAGAGTGCTAGTTGGGTTTGATGATCCGGATCATAGGTTTGTTTAATTGAAAGCAGGGACACCTGAGCACCTATCAAAACCTGTCCTTACGTAGCTTTGAAGGAGGCTGGACATCATTTTGGAACATGTTCGTTTTGGTAGTAAGGATAACCTCAAGAACGATGTCGGGAACAAAAACCCATACCTGATGACTAGTTACATTATTAGTTATGATAGATCTTGACATTATTTTTGATAACGATATAACCTGATGATACATGTTTTGAGAAAGATATGTTCTTTGCACTCCCTTAGATGTTGCATTCCTGTGTTTGTTAGTCATTTTCTGTGAACCCCTACTATGTAACAGCTATTCACTACTTGTACATGTCTATCTATTTAGCTACGGTTCACTAAAGCATGTAAAACACATGCTTCAACCGTTGCTCTTGGCTCAAGAAAACAATCGCAGCCGCGTGCGTTTTCTTCAGGGCGCCGGGTTAACCAACCTGTGGTTGGTTCTCCCTTTCGCACTTGCTTTCGCGCTCTTTCGTTGCTTTCGCACTTCGTTCGGTCGTTCGTTCGCCGTCGTGCCTTCGTCCGACCGTCCTTGCAACCACGGGGTCTCGTCCTTCGGACTCGCCCAGGGTTGTAATTAATATAGACCGTGCTTCCAGGGATTTAGCTTACTTCTTTTATCACTTACCTGTTGATAGAATAAGCTTGGCGTTCCCCTACGTCCCACCTGGATTGTACACTCAATTGGTTATCAGCCGTAGCCGTGAGCTACAGGCATCATCACTCGACCCCGTTGAGCGGTCCCTTGCGGCACGTTTTTCGTACCTCCATAGACCACCAATGGGTCGAGTCAATCCCCAGCCGCAAGCAACCGGCGCCGCTGCATCATCATCGGCTGCAGCACCAGCCACGGCGCCTGCTGGGGACCCTCAGGATCAAGAAGCACTCGCTTCCCCTGAGGGGGTGGTCGGAACCGCGCTTAGCGCGGAGACCACGGACCAAGGGTTCGGGGAGGCATCCGTGCAAGAGCCACCCCTTACTCCCCGTGTCGCCTCAGGCATTTCGTCCTCCCAGCCTACATTCACGCCTCTAGGTTCAGAAACCGCAGGGGCGGAGGAGGTCGACGATCTTCAGCAAGAAGAGCCTGTCGCAGAGCTGACCACCATCGAATTGCCGCCTGAAACCAGCACCCTTGGTGCTCTTAACGACGAAACCCCTCTTATCGAAGCAGAGCTCCAGACCGGAACCGCTGCCTCGCGCGGAGAGGTCTCGTCAGCTCAGGACGATTCGTTAGGCCCCCATAACGCCGAGGAACCGCCCTTCGTTTTCTTTGTTAGGCCCACCTAAGATAGAGCCCGCCACTAAGGAAGAAGTAGAGGAGGAAGTATATGCCGATCCCTCAGCATCTCCCGTGGGCCTACCCCCACTGCATACTCACAATCATCCAACGCAGTTTGAGTCACTGGCCACTGACCCG